CTGTTGTTGCTGGACCTTGCTCTGTTCTGCCAAGAGCTCCTTGGTCTAGGTTAGCTTTTGTATAAGCACAATTAAGTGTTCAGGAATTGCTATTTTTCTCAGTGTTATAGTTTGTTATGATCTACATAGTGGAATGCCTCTGCATGTTAATAAAACACAGAGAGGTAGGCTTCTGATAATCTCTGCTTTCAGCGAAGATCCATTTGACATCAGCAATAATAACTTTGAAGACATGCCTTCTTCTAAATCTAGCTTGCATTTGTGGCAGTTTTCTCTCAATGCACTGTTCTGTTTTTGGATTATCATCAACAATATTTTTGCAAAATATTAATTGATATTGTTAATTAATTGTGATATTAATGATATTGTTCAATAGTTTCCATATTTTGTTGGATCATATTTCTTGGGAATGGGGACAAATATAGATCTCTTCCAGCTAGTTGGCCAGGTAGCTGTCTTCTAAATTTCCAGACACAGATTGGTGAACACGTCCAGGGTTATATCAGTTATTTGGAAGATGTAAATTGCTATCTCTTCAATTTCTGGGGTCTTAATTTTTGCCAGTGCCTTCAGTGCAACTTGAATTTCTTCGTTCATCACCATACTTGCATAGCAAGTTCTTAATAGATAATTGCTGAATATGCAGATCTATATTTTATCTTCTCAACTGGATTACAAAACATCTTCAATCTGTTATTTCCTTACTAGGCAGCTTCATCTTTCTTGAATCCACAAGTACTACCCTTGGTACCAGCAGCCAAGATATAAGGAAACACGGCACTGGGAAAATCTGCAGTTAAAAACCTCTCCAAATTATTGAGGAATGATGTCAGTTTGAGGAGTAAGGTGTCTCTGATCCAGGCCATTGTCTTTCCAATCACTTTTTGTGTGTCTGAGAGCTGGACAATGAATAAGGATGACAGAAGAAGAATTCATTTGAGCTGTGGTGTTGGAGAAGAGCACTGAGCATCCTATGGACAGCTACGAGAACAAACAGATATGTCTTGGAGAGGGCCCAGCCAGAGTGCACTTTGGAGGCAAGAAGGATGAGGAGGCTTCGCCTCACATACTTTGGGTCTGTTGATAGGAGAGGCTATTCCTTGGAGAGGGACAGGATGCTGGAAAAGGTGGAGAAACAGAAAAGGAGACGAAGACTCTCAACCAGGTGGATTGACACGATTACTGCTGCAATGGGCTCTTGTGTGTTAGGAAGTGTGAAGATGGTGCAGGATAGAGTAGGGTTTAAGTCTTTTCATAGGTTCATTATAAGTCATACTCAACTTGACAATATGTAACAATAACAACATGTACATTAGTATTAACTCTGAATATTGAAAATTAATGAAAAAAAATTATTTTCTGTTCACCCGAAATAATACGCATAGGAAAATGAAAGGCAATCACTTAATGCTTTTACTTGAAAAATGCCTGAGAATGGAATAGGAAAAAAGGAATTATACATTCAGAAAACAATTATGCGAGAATGGGACACTGATTCAGAGAACACACAATCTCTCACACTGAATTACAACAGGAGTTTCCTAAGACATTCAAGAGACATTTCACTAGACAAATCACTTGATGAAAGGATTTAAAGGGTTGACAAAGCCATCAAGATTTGTTAAACTGGAAATGGGATGAATTTCAGGCTGGAGTGGCCTGTTGATTGTAAATGGGAAAGAAAATGCTTCATGCAAGAAGCGCATTGCAGATGCAGCTTTCTGATCTTTGAGGTATAGCACTGCTTAAGGGCAAGAGGATGGAACAGATGACTCTGCAGTCTCCTTTCTAACTCCCATGGCAATAAGCTCTCTCATGAGGGGAGAAATTGTATAGAATTTGAACAATCCAATTTGTTATATGAAAAATATTGATGTTTTAAAATTGGCTTTACAAATAATTTATACGCATAAATGATTTCTATTGTTAATCATGCCTTTTGTCAAAAATAATGAAAATCTTGGGAAAAAATAACAAGCGTACTGGTTTGAGGTTTAAACTACTCTCTACTCAATACTGATCTTTACCATCATTGATTTTTAAGACATATCTTGAGACAAAGCTGACTAGTATTCCAAATAACTCCTTTTGTTTCTCCTGGAGTCCTAAACTATTCATGTCTATTTGCTATAATATTGCAGTGCCATTTTAACTCTTTTACACATTTTAATAAGCCCAATACTCTTAAAGAAAGGTAGACTTTACTTGCAGAATGAAATTGAAATGAACACCCTACCTTTGAATTAATTTTCTCTTGCTATTATCTCTCCTTGAACTTTGCTTAGCATTTTTAATTGTATGCATAAGTCACTGTAATTTCAATGAAACTTGAATCATTTCATTTCTTACCAAATAATTTTAAATAAGAAAAATACCACCACCACCACCACCACCACAACAACAAAAAAACACCTAACCCCAGGCCACTGTTTTCTTTTCCTAGCAACAAAAGGCTAGTTTTCTATATAACATCATTGTATCCTTGCTCACAGCTAAAACAAATGACAGGAAAAAAACAGATAAGCCTTCTCTGGAGCACAGAGCGTCTTGGCACTATTATTGTCCTAACAGCCACTTCCTCTATTGCCCCTAGTCTTTATTTCCTCAAATCACAATTACACTCATTCTTTAAATGACTAAGTCTGTAGGTTTCAGACCTCTGGAAGCTTTTTTCTCGGGGAGACTCACATAACTACCAAACAAGCAGGGCTAATCTCTAGTTCCCAGTAATATGCCTTAGACTTAGCCAGACACACTTCCTGCTCTCAAAAAGCATCTTGTTCTCAAGACATAAGTCTCCTGAGATGCCATTGTTGGGACTTCTGATCACCACTATTCCATTAGCATCTGTGAAAAACAGTTTCCTAATGGCATAATGCATTTTTATTTACAGCAGTTACCTACCATCTTGCAAGAGCTCACCCTAATCAAACCTATTATATCTCATATGCCTGTTAGTTATCATAATAAACTAGGCATCCTCTCCTCCAACATTTGCCACTATCATTTGAACTCTCAAACTCAAAGTATTCTATTCAAATAGTCCAATTAATTTTTTATTCCTTTTCATTCTCTAATTATTCCACCAATTAATGCATTCTGCTATTGTAGTTGTTATTTGCTGTTGAATCAACTGTGACACATGACAGCCCAGAAACTATGGATGTGAACCGTACCCAATCCTGTGCCACCCTCACCATCTCTGATATACCTGAGTTCACTGTTGCAGTCACCATGGCAATTCAACTTGATGAGGGTCTTTCTCTCTTTCTTTGACCATCCATCTTTCCCTGCATGATGTCCTTCTCCAAGACTGGCCCCTTCTAACAACATGCCCAAAATATGTGAGACAAAGCTTTAGCATCCTTGCTTCCAAGGAGCATCCAGGTTTTTCTTTCTTTAAGAGAGACTTGATTCTTTTTTGACCGTTCAAGAGATATTCAGTAGTCTTCTCCAACATTATAATGTAAAGACATCAATTCTTCTGGAATCTTTAGTCATTTCCCAACTTTTATATGCATAGCAAGCAACTGAAAAGATTATGACTTGCATCATGTCCACTTTAGCTTTTAAGCAGACATCATTTCTCAATACAATACATCTTCTGATTTCTAGACTGCAAGTTCCAAGAGTGTTGACTGTGAATCCAAGTAAGATTATGTTTTTTCCTCTATCATGATGTTGCACGAGGCTGAGATCTTGAGATGTAATTTATATTGAATCCATAATCCTGATGGCAAATGGATTTTGGCTGAATACAGGGAATATCAGTTGGTCTATCTGTGCCTTATTGACTATAAAAATACTTGACTGTGTGGGTCATAAAAATTATGGCTATTATTGAGGAGAATGAGAATCCTAGGATATTTAGTTGTGCTCATGAAAAAACTACTCTTACATTAAGAATTTGTAGTCCAAACAGAGCAAAGGTTTAAAACTAAGAAAGTGTATGTCAAGGCTATATCTTTCTCTAAACCTATTCAATCTCTGTGTTGAGTAAATCTTTCAAGAAGCTGGACTTTATGAAGAGTGTGGCATCAAGATTGGAGAAAATTTCATTAACAACCTGTTCTATGACACAACTTTCTTGTTGAAAGTGAAGAGGACCTGAAGTGCTCCCTGCAGAGGATCAAAGGCTATAGCTTTCAATATGAATTACATCTCAAGAGCAAGAAAATGAAAATCCTCATCAATGCACTTTAGAAACATGTAATCATCATTTTCCATCTCTTATTGGAGAATTTCCTTTATACTGTTTGCCCATTAAGCCAGTACTACTCAGCCACTTATTGCCTAGTTTTTTTCTCTTTCCTTGCTCCTGCTACTCTGAAGTTGTATCAACTTTATAGGCAGCTGTTCACCATGTGGGTGCTCTGATGGCCTAGTGGTAAGAAACTACATTGCAATCCCAAAGGCAGGTGGTTCAAATCCAGCAGTAGTTTCGTGGGTGAAAGATGGGCAGTCTCCTCCTGTGCAGTCAACTGCCTCTGAAAACCCACAGGAGGATCAGCTATGCGTCAGTTTTGACTTGATGGTCCACGACTACAACGTTCACAATGAGTAGGTGTCCATCAATTCTCCAGAAATTGATTTTAAAGGGAAATCCTTTTTTACTCCTACCCTTACCATTTCATTGGCCTCATAGTCTATATTGAACACAAATTGCTTAAAATTGTGTCTATGATGCTTAATGACACACACACAAAAAGACCATTAAAAGAGAATTATTAGTATCTTTAACACTAAGTCCCCACAAATAATCAGTTACATTTTTTGTATTAGTAAGTTTTTCTCCAAGAGATAAAAACAATTTTTCCATTACAAACCACAATCTTATAAAAAACAATTTTCAGTTAGGTCAAAGCTTCCTGGCATTCATGCCAAATTGGAATCATGCATCTCTGTGTAAAAATCATGAATATTAGTGTGATAGGATGGCTTGGTGTTCAAAGTGAGTATGTTTTTCTCATCAATAACCTTTAGATTTTTAGAGAACATACCTTCTTTACACGAGGAGGGACATGCAGTCCAGTCACTATATGGTGTCACCAAGCAGTCCTTTTTACAAGGAAGAAGACAGGGCCTCACTGTTTCAGGCCTAAGGCTCTCGGGGCACCTAGAAAAAACAAAGGGAAATGACTAGTCCTCCAGTCAGTCAGATAATTTCATACCTTTAGATTTCCATTGTTAAACAGCTAGCACTATGGGCTACTTAACTCACAGGAATCTCTATGGTTTTAACAAGAATTATACATCTCCATCAATTCTTTCAAATTAGACCTCAATAAAGTTTACCCACACATAATATAAATATAATAGTAATTATGCTATATAACACATAATTTAATAATTAGAACTCAACCCTTTGTAATAATAGTTCCAAAATAAAACACTTATTTTAGTTATTTATATGAAATTTCATAGGAGCTCTGGTGTCCTAGTGGATAAGGAGTTTCACTGTCACCTTAATGGTAGATGATTCAAATCCACTAGCTTTTCAGAGGGAGTAAAATGAGCAATCTCCTCCCATGCGATTTACTGCCTGTTGCAACCTGGCAGAGGATCAGCTATGAAAGAAATTTTTTAGAAATCCAAGCTGTGAATATAAGGACAGAATTCTGTATTTATGTATAACTAAACAGGCTTAATATCTATAAAAAATTTCCAATTATTTTAGACTATATTTTTATAAACATGTGTAGTATAAAATAATATAGTTTTGCATGTAATAAAAATATTGCATTCATAGCTATATATGATTTAGGGAGCTCTGGTAGCTTTAGCAGGCCATAGGGATTTGCACCACTAACCCAAGGAGGTGTCTCTCTGACCAGATGTTCAGGTCCACTAACATTCCATGGGAGAAATATGGGTAATAGGTCCCTGTGAGATTTCTACCTGTGGAGACCCACTGGAGTCAATCTGACTAAATGATAATGAGTTGGGGTGGTTTTTAAAAATGTATGTGTTTCATAATAAACAAGTAACACAATTATAATACTTTTTTCCTTTATACTTTAATATTTCCACCATTATATTTTTCGTTTTAATTTATGAAACTTTGAATAATTTTCTAAAGATCAATACAATTCTCTGCAAGAAAAGGATTCAGTACAAATAGTTTTTGCTGTTAGGTGCTGTCAAGTCACTTTTGGTTCCTAGAGACCCATGTGATAGAACAGAAGCACACCACAGGATACTCCTGATTACAGTCTTCGTGGAAATAGACAGCCATTTTCCAGGGGAGCCACTTGTTGACATTGAACTGCCAATCTTTGATTAGGAACTGAGCACTTAACTGTTTGTTACCCCAAATAAAAACCTACATATTTAGTTCTAAAACTAAAATACTATATGCGACTCAGAGTGGCCCTATGCACAACAGCCCTAAACTCTGTCTTATCCTGTGCCAATCTCACCATCTCCGACACACCTACTCCAATATATGCTTAATATAAATGATGGTAAATATTTACATCATTATTTTAAAATAGCAACAAATATACATTGTGATCACAAGACCAAGTTATGAATGACTAACTGCTAAAGTATCTTGTGTTTTATAATGCTTGTGTTTTCATAAAACATCACTTTAGGAAGCTAAGACATGAAATTCAAGTTTATTGTTTTTTCTATTGTAGACTTAATGGTTTTTTGCTGCTGTTCTTATGTGCTATTGAATCAGAATTGATTGACAGATAACATGGGAGGAGACTGTCCATCTTTCTCCCATGGACTAACTGGTAGATTAGAACCATATACCCTTTGGGCTGGCAGTGCAGCTCCATACCAAATTCATTCCCTCAATCTACTGGTCTGATTCTACTATTGCTAACATGCTAATTTTAATTATGAATACTCACACTGGAAGAAGATCTACTTTAATTGTTGTTATGTGCCATTGAGTTGCCTGCAACTCACAGCAACCCTATGTACAACAGCTCTAAACCCTGCTCCATCCTGAGCCAACCTTATTGTCTCTGACACACCTACCTCCATTGCTCCAGTCACTGAGTAAATCTATCTAATTGAGGGTCTCCATTAGAACAACAACAAAAATATAACATAATTCAAATAATTAAAAGTAACATCAAATGCTAAAATCTGAGAAAGCTAGAACCTGAATAAAGTGGATACCATTTATACTAATAAAGAATGATATAAATGACAACAGTAGAGAATGACAGACTATGGTAAGACTGCATCATATCAGAGGTAGAAAACTTGTAAGACATGGAGTAACAAGTCAGTCCCATTGAGTTCTGGCTCTCACAGGTTTCACTGTATTCTCATTCTTGACTAGTTTCTTTTTTGAAGTCATAAAAATTCCTGCCAACTAACTAAAGATTCATTGAAATGATAAATCAAGTGTATAATATAGGTTGTAGTAGAATAAGTTCACCATATTTGTGAAAATGTAATTTAAAATATTTTACATGGGAGTAATAAAAATTTTTGTCTGTCACCATAAATTCTCTTTCATCAAGTAAAAGGATTTCAGAACTCAGCAATATGTGGAAAGTAAATAATATATTTAATCGCGCATAATTTCTTTATAGAACTTTATTATTTATCTACCTTTCCTATCTCATATAAATATAATATTCTAATCAACTACAAGTCAGTTCCCACTTGAGGGCACAAAACAGGAACAACAACTACTAATTTAACAGACACATACTTTCTATTTAAGTTATTGAGGTTTAATGACTTGGAAATGACAGGGTGAAAATAGAATTTATTTATATATTATATATAAATGTTATATATCTATCTATCTATATCTAATCTATATCTATATCTATCTATATCTATATTTATGTCATCTATATCTATATCTATATCATCTATCTATCTATATCTATCTATCTATATATATCTGTATCTCTCTATCTCTGTATCTATCTCTAATATTTCAAAAAGAAATAATCTCCCTGATTACCACTGAGGTAATAATATATACACATAATCTCCAGCACTTCAAAAAGAAAAAATAATCTCCCTGATTATCACTGAAGCTTAGGTTGGATATTCTCTAATTAGTGTGGACACTCAAAATCAGGCACTACAAAGAGATTTAGATGGGCATTTACAATGGAGATTGTAAATCACTAGCAGTACCTGCTTTCTTATCCAGCAAGCCTCATTTAGCAAAATATAACATAAAATTCAGTTAATCCTTTTTGAGACGATGGCAGTGTTGGTTGGTCTTAATTATTAAAAGTACTTCCTTTTTTAATAAGGTGGTTTTGTAATGTTAACAATGGGAGAGCATTAGTCAATTGCATGCTCTTCAGTTTTTATCCCTGATTTAATCAATAGAATTACTAGGTTATCATTGACAAGCTCCAAACATTCCATTTTAGTTTTGAAATATACACAGCAAGATACTTGGCTAACTGTGGTGAACAAAATTACTAACAACAAAGTTGTTAAATGAATACACAATGATAAATTATACAGGCTAGACTACATCTAATAAAACTAATTCAGACTTCCTTTGGAGAAGCAATTGGTTCAGTCAACATGCTTCTTTTCTCCTTTGTACTGGCTGTATTTAGTGTTTGTGGTTTAAATCAAGGAATTGATTTCCTCCAAATCTTACTCAAGGTCAAATAAAACAGATGTGATAGGAGTTGAAGTTTGTTACTCAGAGGATAGATCAGATCAATAGCATTGATTTTACCATTGCACAGTAATCTGTTTTATTAAGAGGAGTTTAAAGCAAGCTTCCTATTTGCATTTTTGTTTCAAACGTCTGGTATTAAAACACATTCACTGAATTTAACTTAACATTTAGGGAGAAGGGCATAACATTTTCTTTAGAATACTTAGTATTTGCTTCATTTCCAAGATATTCAAAGGAAAAGTAAATCCATTTGGTTTAACAAATCTACATATATACAGGTCACCAAATAAAGATTGCAAAAGTAAAGAAACATTTTAACGGACTTTTGCAGTAGTTCAACATGGGGCTTTGGGATTCACTGCCTGTTGAAAAATTTAAGGATGAAGACAATTCAACATATTCATTCACACAAAGACTAGTTTGTACACAGGTACTTCCTTGTGGTTATTCATTTCTAGGAAAATGATTTTCTAGTTTGTGCAATGAGAAAAAGGACAACCTCTGCATTTTGAAAGTGGTTAGTTATGAAACAAAACTAGATTGAGCTTCTTCAGAGAAGTTCATGACAACTACCCACCACTCTGCTTTACTGCAGACTGGTCCCATTGTGACTCTGCAAGGAATAGTTCTACTTCTGTGTTTGTCCCAGGAAAATACAGAATCCTCCAGGGTTTGGGGCTTCTGTGATTACCACTACTGAACTTTAATACACTATACATGAATTTTCGGAGTTAGACTCAACATTATTAGCATTTTGGAAAAAAAATCTTCCAATCTCTTATGGCATGTATTTTTAAAATTCTTCTTCATTTCCAACTATATAATGAAATAGAACATTGAATAAAATATCCCTAATATCTGTAACTGTGGCAAGAAAAATAACTCATAAAGGGAATCTCATATATACCTCTTAAATTTTTTCATTTACAATATTATTGTTTCCCTGAAACACTAAGAAATATCTCAAATTCCTAAATGAAAAGAATAACTTCTAAGATATATTGAGTTACTATTACTGTTATTTCATCTAATCCTTCCAACAAACTAAAAATTAAGGCCAGAAGAAGTTAAGTAGCATGCTTAAGATTACATATAATATTGAACTTGGAAAATAGGAGGCCACTTTTATAACAACAAGAAATTTACTTAACTCATTTTGAATCTTATGTAAGATGACTTGAATTTTAAACATTTGTATTGTTTGAATTCAAAATAAGAAGGTTTCCCCAAAAAGAACTTATTTTTGGAGTTGATTACTTGTTTTCTCTAATTAGTCCAGCAACAAATGCTCAGGTTCATGTTTCTGCTTTTATGTTTCAATGGCACTCATGCTAACTCTCTCTGATGCTTTGTCCTTTTCTCTAGAAAATTGTTTGCTTTGCTATTACAATACGCATAACCACAATAAGAAACTGATAGTTTCTCTATTTACAACGTTAATCCTATCCCAAGGCTGTCTCAGAACTAAGTGGCTTACTATTTTTTACCGTTGGAAGACTTATTAAGTTTGGCTTCAGTATTTTTGACATAGTATTTTCTAGGGAAATTGAAAGGCAGATTATAGAAGGCTACTATCCAATTAAATTAGATTGGCAGCCTCCATAGCCTGCGGGCACATAGGAGGTCATGGATGACCTAGACTGTCAGAACTTCACATAGTGTCATTATTGATCAGGGAAGCCCAAAGCAAGCACTTCTCACAATTGCCTCACTAGCTTAATAAAAGCAGGAAGCGCTACTATAAAACAGAAAGTAGGTACTTTATAGAAAATTTCCTCCAGAATTTATTAGGGTCCTAGCCACAGGACTCCCGGCCCATTATAACTTTATCAGCAGCTGACATTCAAAACAAACATATCTTACTCTTGAGGACAGGTATGACAAGCGTCAAAATGCTCTATTTCATGAAGCAAGTGAAGCCTGAAGCAATCCTCTGCATGGCTGACTAGAGGATTTACGGTTGTCATTCGAAAGTCCTTACTTTTTGGGTCCCACTTGGCCCACATTGACTCGTACACAAATGACTTTTCTTGTCTGCATGCCGACGGAGCAAGAGGCTTCCCCATTCCAAGTCGTAGTTGTGTTGAAGGATGATACTGAGGTGTCCTCAATGCACTGACCCCATGGGCCGGTTTGCCAGTGGTACACAGTGCAAGGATGCTCATTACAGCTGCGCACCTCTTGTAAAGCCGTGCTATTTGGGCAGGGAGCTCTACCTGTAAGAAGGAGGAAGCACAGCAGATTAGATGTGAGGCCATCAGAAAACTTGACTATCTCTGTTCCTAAAAACTAACATGGTTGATGGTAACAATTATACTATCACGTACTGAAGCACATCACTACTTTTGGTCTGCACATAACAAGGTAGATAAGTTTATCTTACATATTAATCATGACATATTTCATATAATGTAGCTTAACAGAGAAAACTATGTGGTGAATGTGATATTTGCTTTGAGGACTATGGAGGGTTCAAAAGGAGAGATCATTGTTCTCCATAGTAGCTGGTGGATTCAAACTGTTTGCCTTTGGTTTAGCAGCAGAACACTATCTACTGGTTTAGCAGCAGAACACTATCTACTACACCACCAGAGTTCCTGAAGACTGTGTGATTTTCAACCAGAAGCACGGGCATTGAGACTGTTGATGGAACAACTCAGCCTGTTTTCAAATGCTATAGCCAAACTCAAAGTCTTAATAATTGGTCCTAAAGTTTGGCTTATCACACACACATGTACATTTTAATATATTAGACACTAGGGTTATTAGACATGAGCATTTTTAAATGAAAGATACAGTTCAAATCCATCAGCTTCTCTTTGAGATAAAGATGGCAGATAGGCAATCTCTTATCTCAAAAATATTAGCTTAGGACACCCAATGGAAGGTGACTGACTACAAGTTGGCCTCTACTCCTTGACAATGAGCACGAGTATTTTCTAGTATCTGGTAATCGTAATGACATGCTTTTTCAAGTCCAAGAAGTCTCAAAGAAAGGTAGAGGGCTGCAAATAAAAAGATACAACACTTTTTAATAACTCTAATTTTTATTTTATGATTATTGAACTAGATACAACACTTTTTAGTAACTAATTTTTATTTTATGGTTATTGAAGTAACTTTTTAATACTTATTTACATAGTTTAAAAAAATCACTCTTTTGTACATATAGATTGACAATGGATTGTACATCCATACAATGGAATACTACACAGCACTAAGGAGTAATGATTTCATAAAATACTATGAGGCATATGAGAGACTAGAGAGTATATGCTGAGTGAAACATGTAAGTCACATAAAGATAAATATTGTATAAAGCCACTATTGTGAAAGCAGAAAGATAACTGAGTAAGAGGTGTATAAATGTTCAAAAGGGAAAGGAGAGAAGGGGGCAGAAAAAAGGTGAAATGGGAGAAATCACTGAGATAGCAGAGGCTCATGTATGGGGTGTGAAGTAATGGGGAAGGTTCACCGGGGCTTGAAAAGAGGTTGATAATAGGCATAAAGCAATGATAATTAATTATATAAAATATAATGAGTGTAAAATACAATAATTTATAAAGTGTACAAAACACAAAGTACATTTACAGAATATGATGCATATTTATGATTATTTGCAAACCATTAAATATGTGAAAAAGAATAATACACTGATCACAAGATGTGATGATTCCAGAGGTTTTAAAGGGGAAAACTGGTATCTTTTTGAATCAATGGACTGTGTCATGCGAGCTATTACTGGGAATCCTTTTCCAGTTGCTCATTCCATAGAGTAGGGAATTCTGCTGGTGTAGTCTGTAATCAGTTATATTGCTACCTCAAAGACCACATCTATCTGGTGGTTTGAATACATTGATAGCTCAGTGTGCAGAAGATGGGTAATCTCCTCCCCTATAATTCACACCCTCCAAAAGCCAACAGAAGGTCAGCTGAGTCAGTTCCAACTCAACAACTATGAGTGGAAGTCTCATAATAAATGTTTCATTAATTTCATATCACAACTGCTTTATAAGGAAAAGATTATTAAATGGATGAGCCTGCTCTAACAACTAGAAGGGCATAAAGCCAAGCAATTTCACTACGCTGTTTATAAAGTCATGAAAAACTGACTCTGCTGGCCTAGTGGTAAGAAGCTGCAGTGCGATCTCAAAGGCAAGCATGGTCGAATCCACCAGCTGCTCCATAGGAGAAGGATGGGCAATCTCCTCCCATGCAATTAACTGCCTCAAAAACCCACTGAAAGGCCAGCTGTGGGTCGGTTCTGAATGGATAACACACAAGGAGAACATGCTTAAAAGTAATATTTTTGGGGAATATATTGTCTTCCCCCTAGACCTACTTGATTTCATTCTCAGAAAGGTACTGGCTGTTGTCATGAATGATGAAGACCCTGGGTGATAATAATAAAAATTTTGTGATAGACAAATGGAATGAGTGTAGAAATAGGAAAATGAGGAGTTTAGACATTAGGGAAGCAAATTAGTAAAGAAAGTGATTAATGGCTAAAACTCTAACAATGAAGTTGGCTCAAGAGATCTGAAATTTTGGCAAAAGTTCTACGCAAATCTGGTGGCTATAACCTGAGTTGGTCTTTAGGTACAGTTTCACTTCTGATAAAAGACATTATTCTTATTCAGTAAATAAATTGGTAGACAGTTTAGGTTAGAATTTAGCTGTGATTGTCATTGTTAGGTGCCTTGGTGTCTAGTACAACTCATAGTTACCCTATAAACAGCATAATTGAACTGTTATATCCTCTGCCATCCATTAGGAATCACTTATACAGCACGGAATGTGCGATCACCATCAGAATAGCCTGCATTATATGTTAATAAAATATTTTATTAATGTCTCCAGCCTTATGAAGGTGAATACATCTATTATGGTTCCTACCCTGTCTTCTGTAACACAGCTTAGTGGTTCTAACACCCCTAGAAAGAAGTTTAGTATTTGAATAGGAATAAATCCCCAAACATACTAATTTAGTTGATAAGTAAATGAGCCCTCCTATTGTCCATTCTATGGGGCATTAGCTTTATCCAATCTTTTCTCTCAGACAAACACATGCTAGTAATATACATTACGATGATAATAGTGATATTGAGGGATATTATAGCTAATATTAGATGGATCTTGGCTGAAAGCAGAGAGTACCAGAGGAACGTCTGTTTCATTGTCTATGCAAAGACATTTGACTGTGTGGATCACAACAAACTGTGGCTAACTCTGAGAAGAATTGGAATCCCAGAACACTTGATTGTGCTTATGCAAATCCTATACTTGAACCAGAAGGCAGTCATTAGACCAGAGCAAGGAAACACTGCATGGTTTAAAATTGGGAAGGGTATACCCCAGGGATGTGTTCTATCTCCATACCTTTTCATTCTATATGCAGAACAGACTATTAGGGAGGCTGTGCTCTATTAGGAAGAGTGTGGCATCAGGATTGGAGAAGGACTCATTAACTCTGTTATGCAGAGACACACCTTGTTTGCTGAAACTGAGGAGGACCTGAAGTGCTTGCTGCAGAAGGTCAAGGACTGCAGTCTTCAATATGTATTGAAGCCCAAAATTAAGAAAACAAAGATTCTCACTACTGGGCAGATTGGTAGCATCATGATAGATGGTGATAAGATTGAGATTGTTAACATTTTTAGTTTGCTTGGCTCCACAATGAACACTCTTGGTACCAGCAGTCAGGAAGTAAAGATGATTGCACTGGAAAGTCTGCTGTCAGGAACCTCTTCAGAGTATTGAAGAGCAACTATGTCAGTCTGGAAACTAAGGTGTGCCTTATCCAGGCCATAGTCTTCAAAATTACTTATTATGCATCAGAAAGCTAGACAATGACTAAGGATAATAGAAGAAGAATAGATGCTTTTTTTTTGTGGTGCTGGACAAGAGTATTGAATATATCATTGACTGCTTGGTGAACAAACAGGTTTGTCCTAGGAAGGGTGAATGAAACCAGGCAGCTCCTTGGAGGCAAGGATTCTTAAGCTTTTTCTGACATACTTTGGGCATGTTGCAAGGAGAGGGACATCATTCTTGGGAAGGTGAAGGGACAGCACAGATTGGAGATAAATTAATTTAGTGACTGGGGCAATAGAGGTAGCTGTTGTACATAGGTTCACTATGAATCACAAGCAATGCAACGGCACATCACAATAACCAGATAGATTTCTATCCACGTATCTAATCCACCAACTGCTCATTGGAGAAGGAAGGGCAATCTCCTCGTGTAAATTTAACTGCCTCTGAAAACTTGCTGGAGGGTCAGATAAGTGTCGGTTCCAACTCAACAGCACACGTTTCAATCCCACTTGTTTATATCTAATATTAAAATGACATAACTGCCAAAATTTTTTTCTTTTTTATCTTACTTTTACGTGTGTATATCAATGTGTGTTTAAAAACAGAATTAAGAACAGAATTGTTTTTTGACCTCTTGGTTTTTGAGAAAAGTAATGAAAAGAAAATGAATAACATCTACAACATAAAAATTCTCTATATCCATGCCCTGAGCCACACTGAAGACACATTAGCAGTTTTCATCTAGTATAAGAATACTTGCACAGATCAGCCCTGATGCAGTCTTAATTACAGCATAACAAAGATATGGTGGATGCGAAAGCATGGCTTGGGTAGTAATCAGTCATTCTAGGATCAGCATATTGTTTGGAAAATAATTTGACAGGAAAATTGATGATAATCTCGAATTTATCTATTATTTATAATATGATCTAATGCCAGACATCTAGGAATATTTCCAAGTATGGGAAATGATAAATGGAGACCTATAACAAAATTGGTCATAAGTATACTGAAGAATACTCTCTTACATTAAAAAGATATGCTTAATAATAATACAATGATCTAGATATTCTTTTATACCAACAAGGGAAGAACTTTACAAGACCCTGATGGAATTGATTTAAACCCTGTGGTTTAAATAAACTTCCATTCCCACGTAAATTTCGATATAAAAATATCAACTGCTATGTGAAACTCCCAGAAATAAAAAGGTGAATTTTCCTCACTCCTCTGTTCCAAATTTATAAAACTGTGTTAGAACACATTTAAACAGATAAAGTATAATACTGTTTTTGGTTTACATATTGATTATCTTATACAATTTAGATAATAGGTTAAAACAGCAACCAAAATAGCAAATCTTCAAACAGCAAATAGATACATGTGCATTAGGCATTAT